TACACAGCTTCAATTCCGCGTTTTGTCGTCTAAATAAAAGTGTATTCCTTTAGAAGCTTTTTAAATGCACGAGAACTTACAGAAGAAAGATTTTGGTTAAATTTTTACAAACATTGGAGCGGTGTGGTTATGAAATAGTTTTTAGATATGTATATTTAGTATGAGAACTAAATAAACTGGTGTTTCAAGATGTATAAAAAATCGTATTTAGTGACGTAAACTAAGGTTTCGAGTAACAGTTTGCTCTTTGTCTATGACGCATGTCTCTTACTCAAAAAAAGAAAGTTAAGTAAAAGAAATTTCTGGCGTTTTTTTATTTTTATTTTTTTTAGTTAAATCTTACGTAGTATTAAGAAAACATTGTATACTAATTAAAAAAACGACAAATGAATATTATATATATATATAATTATTAAGGTTGAATTTTAATATATTTTTGCAAGCTTATTACTTGCTCTTTGAAAATCTTGACGAAATATCTTTTGAAATGACAAACTAGGTTTACTAAATATTGCTCCCTATATGAAAAAAAATATTTGATTGCAATATCATTTCCAAATTATGTGCATAATTACTTCATTATGCACTGTAAAAAAATTCAACTGATACTATGGATGCACCATCCGTAAAATCCTTTTTACCGTAAAATATTCTATCGTAATTTTTACAGTAATATTTACTTAATTAAAGTGATTCAGTGATTTTACTGTAATTACAAAAAATTGAGGTATATTAGTTTTTTTTTTTAATGTTCTGATAAAAATGGGTTTCACGGTAAAAAGTACCGACATCCTAAATGCCGGTACTTTTAGCCGTTAATGGATCCGGATATTTTACAGAGTAGTTACATATCTCACTTTATAGCATGTTCCTTATAATGATTCATTTTTTAAATTATCATTATTTTATCAACAAAAAAAGTCTATAAGTAATTCAATGTGTATATAATTAATCTTCCAAGGTGTATATTTAAACAATGATAACCAACTTACAAAACCATATTTAAATGAAAGTTTTGACATGCAATATACTCAGATAGCTGAAGTAGATAATTTTGAACTTGACTGGCGTATATCACTGTTTCTAAAGTATTTTATATAAAGAAATAGATATTTCTTATATATATTTCAGACAGAAAATCTTAATATTTCTAAACATTGACAGCCAATATAATTTAAACTGCAAAACTATTCGTTAAACGTGGATTGTGTATTGTTGATTCATATAAATGGCATGAAGTATCTTTTATGCCATTTGTATGCCTAGACTTAGGAACATGCTACATGCCTAGATTTAGGAACATGCTAGTAAGTGTATGCCTAGACTTAGGCTCTGAAAAGATAGGTATTATCCCTAGTATTAATAAAATATAAATTTAATAAAATAAATTAATAAGATATATTAATAAATATCTGAATCCATATTTAGATTTATACTTTTTATTCAAATTCAAGTGAAAGTTATATTTTGATAAAAAATTATTTTCAAATTTTTACTATATTTTCCAGTATTTAATGCCCTAAGACTTATTTATAAAATTTGTTTTAAAATCCTATTGTGTTCTTTATAAAATATTTTCGTTGATCCGAATATTCGTCGGTTAAAAAGTTTAATGTTTTATATAAAAAATAATAGCAATAAATTTAAAAGTTTTGGTGAATAAATTATAAATTTAATACTGAGAGTGTACACTACCGGTCAAAAGTTTGCGAAAATTTTGAAATCTACAAATAAAAGTTCTAAATTCAAATGTTCATAGAACTGAGAAAAATCATTCGAATTGCATAAAAATTTGATATGTTCTAAGGTGAACCCTCTACAGTTAATTACATATGATCAAATTGCAATACTTTGTTTTTTGCGAACTGAATCCAGCTTTTCATCATGAGTTGTTTCTATGGTGAAAAAAATTATTAAGTTTGAACGCTTGCCAAACTTGCAAAAAAATTTTTTTGTACTTTCTGCTAATAGAAAATAGTTATTTGAACAGTTCTATGTAAGCCCTCAAAATTTCAAATTGATTCGATTTTTTTTGATGAAGTTATAGAATTTTGAAAAACATGTGTACTTCTCTCGATTTTTGAGCATTCCACATATGCAGTCTTCTGGTCTATACATCTTCTATCAAAGAACTTTTTAATTTTTATGTTTCTATATTTTCANGTTCTTCATAAAATATTTTCGTTGATCCGAATATCCGCCCGTTAAAAAGTTTAATGTTTTATATAAAAAATAATAGCAATAAATTTAAAAGTTGTAGTGAATAAATTATAAATTTAATAATGAGAGTGTATACTGCTTGCGGAATAAGACATTTTTATTATTATAATTTTTTCCCGTTATAGTAGATAAAGGTATCCTCTCTCTTTAAAGCTATTGGAAATGGAAGGGAAAATGAGATGGTTTAAGAAACGATCTGATTTCATTTAATATTGAACAATTAATTTATAATGAATCATAAAATGAACATTTCATACTTTTGATATGATTGATACAGATTTTAAATTATTTTTGTTATTATCTTTATTTAAAGGGGGAAAAATAGTTTTTGCAAAGGTAAAAATTTTTAATAGTTTATGAAATGCACTTTTATCTTAGTCGTTGATTGGATTCTCACTTAGACAGGATGCAATCGCTAGTTTCTCCTTAACCCACTTTCCCTTATGCATGAAACAGATTCAAAGCTAAGCAGCAAATTTCAAATAGTGAACGTAAGAACATGCTTTTATTGAAAACTTAAACATAACTTATACATATAAAACATAACTTAAAACTTTTTCTTTCAACTAACTGAATCAAATGACTGTCACGCTATTTGATTTAAAGAACCCTGATTTCTTAATACAATAATTCAAATCTTACGTTATAGTATTTGTCGAATTTTCAGCGTTTTAAATTCTTTGTTAAAATTTTTTATCTTAAACGCTTTTGCAATTTTATTTAAATCTGTTTCAATAATATTTAATTTCAACTGGAATTGTTGCAACATGCGTGTGCTGCAATCATTCAAAAAGATTATTTAAACAACTGAATTTCGAACTAATAATATGGATTAGCGAGCACAACACCTGCATCAGATAAATATTTAGTGACACAAAACAGTGTATATAATTTTACAAAGGTATTTAGATTACAGAATCTCTTTTTTTTTTTTATATAAGAATTCTTTATGAACTCAGAGTGTTACTTCAAGGCCCACATAAAAAAAAAATTGAAAGAGAAAAGAAGAGTTTATCGCTTTCTAGAATCAAAATCGTGGCATTTATATCTTCAGTCATTCCGACCGATGAAAAATTTGCTGTTTAAAGTCATGCTTTTGGTTGAAATGTTTTAATGGCACAATTCCATCCCTTGCATCGGCCCCACTGTAACAAAGGTTAAATTACTGTTTTCTTATCTGTTCTTACAACGCTTTTGTGATAATGTCGATATTTTAAAAGGTTCAGGATTTATGATTTTAAATTCAGTTCTTATGTCATGACGGGAAAAAGGAAACTAGATAGAGAAAATTCAATTTTCTTGCTAGATTTATGTGGCTTTAAAATTGCTGAAAAATGCTAGATTCCGGAAATTATTGCTAGCTACCACGTTCTATTTTGTAAAGTCCTTTATAGGAAAACAAATAAGCATACCGTCTCTCTATATATTTAAATATAGAAAAACTCCATTTTACATTATTTAATAAAAAAAAAATGAAATGAGTTTTCGAATTTCAGACAACTGATGTAAAATAATTTTTTTACATCAATAATCCCTATTTTAAATAAATAATCCCAAGAAACTGATTAAAAACTTTATTCCCTTCAAAAATATATAAATAGGAATGGCAATCGACATATTTCAAATGTTTAAAAACTATGTGCAGCAATTGATACTAGCTCGTATTCATCAATTGCTGTACATTGTTGGGATCTTGGGCATAAATTCAATTTCGACAAATCCAAAATTACTTCCACCCCAATCGCATCAGCTCATCTTGATGCCCTGGAATTTGTTTTATTCAAATAAATGCTAATTTCCTTGTTAAGAACATTAGTTCCTCACTACCTCTACATAGCACTCGGAAATGTAATTGTAACCCTGATTTGCCCTTCCTTCAGTGGTTTTCATTTCCATATAACGCAAATACGAGTAGTTCCCTTATAAAGTTCTACACGAAGGCTAGTCTGTTATAATACTTGATCCAAGAGTTTTCTAGTCTTTTGAATTTGGTTCAAAATAACAAGGCTACGAAGTTAACATTGGAAGTTGTAACCTCAAAATTGAGTCGGCTGTTTAACGACAGTTATAAAATAAAATACATTAAGGTTGCTCGCAATGCTTGGAAACGATCAAATATCTCAAAGAGGATATATCGGATTGGTGACTCCTAAATATAGGTGGTAGTTGCAATACGGGAAAAATGGTCCCAATAGTTTGGTAAGTTGAGTAGTCCAAATTTTGGGTTAGGGTCCCTTTTCAGCACTCTCTTTTAGAATAACTAGAACTAGATAGTTATTGTTTTTTTGAAAAGAGTGCAATTCCGAAATAGTTAATAAGACAACTAAGCAATTGCATGCTTGTTACAAGCGCAGATTTAATTCTGATCAGCAAGTACATTTTGCAGATTTCTCAGAGCACAGAATTATAAGCATATTTCTAAGTAATATTAGACTAATGAATATTTTATTCATGAACAATGCTACTCCTTTTGGTGACTGCTTAATTGTTAAAGTTATTTCATTCCACCAACTAAATAATTTTTTAACACATTGTTGACTGACCGATGACAATTTAACTCGTCTTTTTATGCCCAAACGTCACTGATCAATGACGCGTTAACTCGTCAACGATCAAAAACATTTGGGCATGTAATCATTATTTATAATGTTTTACTTTATTTTCATATTCAATTACAAAAAATAGCTACCGGTGACACGACATAGTTTCTGTAAAAAATTGCAGGCCAACAAAGTGTTAAATAAGATGTCTAAATAGATTTAAAACAAAAATACACAATATCTAGAAAGAAAATTTTATTTTTTAATATAAAGGCAATTTTTCTCTTCTCGGTCCAAATTTACAAATAACTATTATACAATATGGCCATTATATATAAATTTCTTTATACACTTTAAAGGCAGTGAGTGCATATGTTGAGTCTGTATAATGGGTGAGAACGAACCAAGTGGAGAAATTAATCTTAGGATTCTTATAACTCTTATTCCTATACTTATTATATAAGTCTCAAATCCTCATTCCTCTACTTATCTACAAACACGATAACAAAAATGAAAATATGATAGTAAATAAGAATTAAGACATTTTAAACTTTAGATAAATAACAATAGAAAAAAATTAAAAATGGGAAATATTTTTTAAGAAACTTATATTTTTATATAATCAAATTAACATATATGTATATACATACATATATAGAATTCAACTTCTTCAAAACATTAAAGTTTTAACTAAAACTTCTAATTCCAGGTGTAAGAAATCATTTGACAAACCTTAAGAAGTATATAAGTGAATTATAAGTTAACAGTGTTTCACTAATTTGAAGGGGATATACTGGAACATAAAATTATGCAATAACAGCCTAGGAATATGAAGCGGTAGGCTTAAACGGCGGTATTGATTGTTCAGAGCTGACCAACACAACTTAAAACCTGATAAGGGCCATATTATGAAAAATATTTTTTTTTTTTAAATTACAAAAAATAAGTGTATAAAAAAAAACTAATTTTCTTCAAGAATTTATTAAGATACATAAACTAAAAATCATTGCATCCAAAAAATAAGAAAAAAGAATTTATTCAAAAACAAAATAACACAATTCAAGAACTTTTGAGAACGTTTTTTATTTGTGAGTAGTATTCTGGAAACCTCCAGACATTAGCTATATAAAGTAGATTGGATAAGGTGTGGACAAATTTGTACTTTAGAAATTAATTTAATAATGCATTGACATAATGAAATTCTACCAAACAAAAGCATATTCAGTCAAGGAAATTATAAATTTAATTTCCAGATTTACATGAAGAATTTGGAGGTCATACTGAGTGCTAGGGAGGAGGGGGGGTCATATGTTGTGAAGGTCTGGTTTATGGTAATTTTAGATTCGAATGAGGTTCTTTTTTCCTTCTGGAGTCGTAATATAATTTTTAATGACTATTACATAAAAGAGCTGCTAATTTTTTACTACCTAAGAACTGCTAATTTTTTTCTCTTTCTTTAAAATATAAATTCAATAATTTTTGAGCTAGGTCTCATAGAAGGTCATCCTGTAGGTTTTGGGCAGATTTAGATTAAAAGTAAAACAAATACTAATGTAAGAACAAACTTGGTATCACTGAACCAATGTATAATTGGTATAACTGCTTCACTTCACTTTTACGGTAAAAATATTATTATAGTGAATATTTAGTATTGAAAGTAGAAATAAACAATAAAAATTAATGACACAACAGCCAGTTAACATCTATAAACTTAGTATCTTATATGTTCAACAACGATTTGTGACAGTTATTATTGAGACCCTGTCTTAATGTTAAAACCATGTCTTAATGTAACAATGTACTTCAAGTCTATTAAAAAGAATCAAAATAATTATTGGTCACAAAATAGTGGTTCTTTGTACAGTGGCAATGATACATATCTGCTATGTCATAATTTTGGTATATATTCCTAACCTTTTCAAATTGCTGAAACACTGGTTCAAAGAAGAAATAATTCAATGAATTTCCCACAGACGCAGAATTAAAAAACAAGATATTTAAAAACCAAGTGCACTTTATCGGATCCTACATTATAGATATAAGAAATTTCTAACAAAATCAAATTATGCATTTTGATTCAAAGCAAACACAAAGTATTTAACAATAAGTATGGGGAGCAAGAATGACATTGCCATAGTCAAGACATTTTCACAGTAAAGAAATGCAATATATTGTTGTTTTATCCCGCAATTATAAGCTTTTATCTTAGAAATTCTCACCTATCTACGATAATGAATTTTATAATTATTTATTGCAATTTTCTATTTCCATTAATTTATCAAATAAAAATTTAGAAATAAACACATCTTAATATTTTGACAATTTAATGAGTTTAAGATGGCGAAACTAATAAACCTTCTGCTTCACGTATCCTATTGCAAGAAAAAAAAAGGAAATTAATTAATTTATAAGTGTTTGATAATTATAAAGAAACAATTATGTCAGAATTTTAAAAGAAATTAAAACCTGAAATATAAATATCTTAACAAATTTTTTTAAAAAAAAAAACTCTTCACTTAAGGTTTTAGAAAGCATCTCATATATTACGATCTAATAACAAAAGACCCATTTTATATGGTTAAATGATATTCCTAAAAAATTCAGAGATTCAACATTTAAAAAATTTTTTAAAAATATAGGAAAAGAATTTAAGATAAAATATGATAAAATAGAAAAATAACATTTGAGGTAATATTGCTATAATGAAATATAATGAGCATGATATTAAACAATACAGACATCAAGTAAAAGCTACCCTAATGGGATCTTGTGGATGAATTGATATAGAAATAATCTCTGTATTTGCTAATTAAGTTTAAGTGTGAAAAATAAAAGTAAGCAAAAATTGATATTTTTTAACATCCATAGAGCATTACCAGTCAACTTAATCCCTCAACTAAATTATATTTTAAATTGTTCTTTGTTAGTACAATTTATCAGTATGAAATAAATATTTTAGAATTTTAATAGTTTATTTAAATTTTTAGGTAGCCAAAATTACCTTTTTTGAGAGCATTTCATTATTAGTTTTAACTTAATATTGTGAAGACAAAGTATTTAATGAAAATAAAAATATTTACTTCCAGTAAAAAAATACCAGTATTATTTTAACAGTTCTCCCTTCATTCGTTTTCTGGCTTGAAGTGTCATTTAAACATGATGTATGCACTTTTAGATAATTTTAGAAATTAATGTATATTTTTTCAAAAGCATAATTTCCCCCCCTCAAATATTTTTTAGCAATTTTCGACTAAGAATTAAAGTGTCTAACATTAGCATTGCTTGTTTCTTTTTCCATATTCTAATAAGTAAATTGCTAACTCTTCTTAATTGCTTTACATAATATTTAAATGACCCTTAATCATCAAATACACCCTATCTACTGTAGGCATTTAAGTAATACTTTGATCTTAATACCACAAGGATTAATTTACTTATGAATGATACCCAACAATCAAGTCTATATAATAGTATGTATGTAGTTTGGAACAAAAAGAGTGACATCAATTAAAGGGAAGGAAATTGGGGCAAAAATAAAAGTAATTTATGCTAGAATTTTGATGGTTCGGAAAAATTAATTAAAAAAATGTAATAAATAGATGTGACTTAATATGTGTACTCATATTTTAAGAACAGTGAATCATTTTCAATTTAATTGCTTTATTATTAGACAAAATAAATAGAATTTACTTTTTATTAGTGCATAAAGAAAATGATATTTAGCAAAAGGTGAAAAATAAAACTTTAACAAAGGCAAGAAACTGATACTGAATTTTCTGAAAGAGCTATTTGGGAATCAGAATTAAAGCAAAATTTTTTTTAATTAAAAAAGAAAGAACCCAAGAGCAGAGAATAATTTTGAAAGAATAAGGCAGTGAGTTTTTAATTAATACTTCATATTGAGCTTCTTTCTTAAATGAAGTATAAATTATAAATAAATACACATTATAATTTTACAATATTTAGTCTAACATATGAGGTAATTCCCTCCTTAAAACTTTCACATCACATTAAATAAAACTCTAAGAGCACATATAACCAAACAATGCTCGATCACAATTAATATGATAAAACGAGTACTATTACAAGGTTTTAAACCTTTTTAGTCTATTTACACACACTCTGGAATGAGATGTACTTGTATTTAGGAGGGATACATTAAAAAGTAAAAAATGTCTATTTACATTGTATGCACATTCTATACAACTGTACAGTTCATGAATAATTTACAATGAAATAATCATGGTTTTCATACAAATAAACCAACACCTATGCAAAATATAACGATTTATATACACAAAAATGTATCTATGACATATATTTTATATTACCAATAAACAACAAAGATTGCATAGATATTTTTATATATTATTTTTCTATATCTTTGAACTTTGGCATTTAAGAGACCACGGACTAAGACTTATAACAGAATTAGAAACATAGACCAGTAATAATACATTTAAATGTCAGATTCTGTTTGTACTTAACAAATAAATAGACAAGCAGAACAAATCTAAGATGAAGAAGAAAAAAAATCACTATGTTAAACACTATTTCAAAACACAGAAAATATTAACTAAAAATATATTAACTTCCTGATTTCTACTACTTAACATACTTAATTGGTCAGTATAATGACCAGTATTGCAAAACATTCAATCCAATGATTGGGTGTACAGTTATAAGCATTCTATAGAGTAGCTAGATTTGAAATAAACACAAACTAAATTGCAATTTGATGACTTATTTAAACAAATTACAATTTTAAATCTAACATTATCTTCAATGCCTGTTTTTGTATCCCTGAAAAATTTATTCAAAACAACCTGTATTTCTTTTAAAATCTTCAAAGAGGAAGTAAATTATCTGTCCTTAAGTTGCTATAAGTAAACATAATTATTCCAAAAAATATTAGCCTAAGAGTGATAAGGATGAACAAAATTAAATTTCCGTGGCTTTAAACTTGATTTACATCCAGTTATTGAAAGATTGTCGCAACTACGCTGTTTGTCAAAAAGGTTGTTTTAAGCCAAGAAAAAGACATTGATTTATTGGTAAATTTATTATTCTAATAGATATATATTTATTAATAACACTATATTCAACGAAAATTCTTTTTCAATGATAAAGTTAGATTACATAATTGTAAAAATAAATATATCTCATAGATTTTTGCAATAATTAAGACTTAATTTTTTAGGAATATAATACATAGAGATTTGTTTTAAGTAGATATATTCATGGCAGTTTTAAAAAAATCTTTCTGCAAAAAAAGGCTTTCCTTTGTGGTTTTATATAATTTTACATGCAAAAAATTGGAAAAATTCAAATGGTGAAAAAAAAATTAATCAAAGAAATAACTATACATAATAATATGTATAAAAATATGTATCTGAAAATAAATTTTCACACAACAAAACAGAACTGAAAAAAAAAATTTTTTTTTTTGCAAGATTCTTCAGGAAAACTACAATTCTAAATAGTTATAATTCATAAATGCAAAAGGCACAGCATATATGATTTTGAAAAAATTCGGCACTAATAAGTTTGTATGAGACTTTAACATTTACTTTTCTCTTATTCAATAAAACATATAAAGAAATGGCTTGCTATGATTCATTTTAAATAATAATATAGAATATTGTCATATTGCTAAAAGGTTTATTAAAAGAATATTCTAAGTTTGTCTAGGAGTGCAAACTATACTAATTTCAGTTTTGTGCACAAATAAGACATCCAGATTTCAACAAACTGATTTTTTACTAGCCAACAAACTCACTTATTCAGTAAACTGTATATGTGTTTATATAAATATATATAAGAATGTAAACCTTAAAATATATAACTATAAAACAACTGAGCAAATATATGATGTAATTAAAAATACATAGCAAATTTTTACTAAGATGAAGTAGCTTTCTTGTATATGCATCTTTTACTGCATACACTAAATGCAACTATGAAAATTAAATGTAAATGCTGATTATGCCTGCATTAGACATAGTAATAAAAGCACTGTCAGATATGATAATTTTTATTAAAGGGGACAATGTTGTGCAGTTGGTTATCACATATAATAACTAAGTAAACTTTCGTCATGAAAATGGACCATGCGAGTAATTGTTATGAATTGGTCTGAAATTTACTTGATTAGCCCTATGAGGCCATGAACCTCCACCTAATTGGGGTAAATGAGAAAGAAAAGGGGGAGGCATTAGAGGAGGAACCTGTCTATTATTCCAGTTCCGTCTGCAATTATTCCGATCAAATGAATTTGGATCAGCTTTCCAACGCATTGACTCAGGATCTGTTGTGTCTTTTGTCAATTTCAGAACTAATCTTTCTGATGGCACTTCATGAGAATGCATATCATTAGTCCTCACAGGTGGTGGTTTGTTGAAGGTGACCTTCTCAGACCTTGGTTCAAGTTTCCTCCACGAAGTTTTGCTTTGATAACCACTTAAATTAACTGGAGTAATGTCAGGCAATGGAGAAAGAGGGACACTGCCTCTTCGGGAATCTAAACTATTTTCTTCAGGTTTATTTGTTTGAGGTTGTTTCTTGGGTATTTTATAGCCTCGGAAGGAATCCTTCTTGGGAATGGGTGGCAAAGTTTTATCAAATGTAAAAGGCAAACTCTTTGAGTCTGATGAGCTACTCTCAAATTTTTCTGGAGGTTTGGTGCTACTTTCAATTTTCTCTACAGGCTTGAAGCTGTTTTCAATTTTCTCTGAAGGTTTGGAACTATTCTCAACTTTCTCTGGATGTTTGGAATTACTCTCAATCTTTTCTTGAACTCTGGTGCTATTCTCGTTCTTTTCCGAAGATTTAAGTTTTTCCTGGCACTTAGTAGTTGATGATGTTTGCTTAACAGATGAAAGATTGTTTGCACTTTTTAATTTCCCTACTGGTTGTTTAGAAAATACGGAAGATGACTCATGGTTGAATTTCCGCTTTGATGGTTTACTTGATTTAAGTATACAGTTTTCTGACACTTTCACTGGTGTAGGCGAATTAGTCCTCAAAGGAGATCCTTTAACAAATGCTTTATCAGGTTTAACTTTTTTTATTAAATTAGAATCATGCGGGGAAATCTTTTTAACAAGACCATTCACTTTAGTTTTCTTATTATCTTTTTGATTCAATTTATCAAGGCCTTCAGATGGTTTGTAGCTTAAAACATTATTTACTTTTTTGGAGCATTTTACAGAATCGCCTTCTTTCAAGCACTTGACAACATCATCAGACTTCAACACTACATAAGGAAGAGGTAAAACTCTATTATTATTTTTCTTTACCTCCAATTTAAGAGTTTTCTCAATGGTATCAAAATTTACAGTATTTGTATTGCTAGTTGAGTTTGCATTGGTTTCCATTTTTTTATCTTCAATTTTATTAGGATTCAGATTCAATTCCTCTAACTCTACATTCAATTTGCCTAACAGAAATTCTTTTGAAGTATTAGATACATGATTAGAACCAGTACTTATGAGAAGGTCATTTATTTTCTTGTGCGTTTCAGATTTGATGTTTTGCTTAGTAATACTCGCCGATTTGAATTTCTTAGGTTTAATTTTATGAATTTCTTTTGAAGTTTTCCTCTCTGCTTCAACATCAGAGTTATCGCAAGAGACAGTTTTGGTAAATAAAGTAGAATTATTTTCAACAGATGACTTTGCTAATGAAGAATTTTCACTGGGTTCTTGTTTAAAACATTTATTATCCAGAATTTGAGAGTTATCAAGCTGTTCCTTATCTTTAATATCGTTACAAGATACAGAACTAAGCTCATCACTCTTAATATCTTTCGACTGTTTAGTTTCAGAATTAAAATCAGTACTTTGGAGATTTAATTTACAGTCAAGATCATATTCATTATCACAGATATCCTGATTAGTATTATTTACAATGTCACTTTCGATGTACATTTGAGTGTCTGAATAACCAACCTCAACATCATATATACAGTCTTCAATAACAACATTAGCATCAGAATTTAGATCATATGGGTTATATGCAGAATCGAATTGCTTAATACCGGTATCACAAGGATTGTAAACTTCATTAACAACTAATGCATCATCTGTTTGCTCCATCTTGTAATTTGCCCCAACATCGAAATCTGGCATGTATATTACTTCAGATTCCTCCAATTTTATATTAACTGTATTTACATCGTTAGAAATATAAATAGAATTTTTATCTTCCAATTTAACATTTGACTGAAAATTTATTTCATCAAAGGATTTCTCAGAATCAGAACTTTGCATAGCTGTTTCTATCACAACATTTGAATCGAAATTTAATTCGGCAGGAGAATTTGCTGAGTCAACATCTCCATTTGTGTTATCAATACCTGAGTCAGTTTCAACAATACTTTTGTCAAATGCAGAACACAAACGAGTGTCGGTTTCAGGAGATGTGATTGAACTGGAACTAGCATTTTCTTCACAGTTTTTACTAAAATGAGATGATTCTGATGCACATGTATTTTGAAAATTCTCATCCTCTGAAAATTTATTTGAAATAATTTCTGTTGTTTCAGATGAAAAATGTTGGTCATGGGATAATCTATCTGAATCAATGGGTACATCACAACTGACTGAATTCGTGGCATCACATTGAAAATTACAGTTTGAATTATCAGTCTCTTCCTGACATGAGGTATCACTTTGAAATTGCACTTTTCTTTGTTTGTTAGCAGTTGATAGAAACCTTTGAGTTCGTACTAATAAACCATTTAAATAATGCTTAGCATATGGATTGGGCGTTTTCACAGAATTACGGTTTTCATTCTTCTTAGAAGGTTTCACCTGGCCATTTACCTTAGTCCTCACTGAATCTTCACCTACAAGGTTAGTGAGAACACTAACCATGTTAGGTGAAGGACCATTAACACCAGAATACTTTTTATCATAAGCAAGATCGCCACAGTTTGCATTCAGAACAGCATTCAATTGGTCTTCTGTCAACTTTTTACGTTGCTTGCGCAAAATAGAAACTTGTTTGTTAAAAATTTCTTCTTTGGCTTGTAACCACTTCTTCACGAGTTTCTCTCGATTCTTGACCATGTAGCACAGATTCCTTGCCTAAAAAATATAAGCACACATTAAGTAAATAAAATCTTTATTTTCTCAATAAATAAATATTAGTAGAAATAAATTCTGGCTATAAATACAGTTGAATTAAGACAAAATGATTTGAGAGATCATTCATGCAGTATATTGAAGAAGAACCAGGAGAGTTCAAAACATATTGACTGCTAGTATGACCAGTCATAGATCAAAAAATTCACAATGTGTTGTCTGGATTCAAAAGGCAGGAAGACACTTAATACAATTATTTACTTTATCCACATCATTGAAAAACCAATGCAATTTTAAGTTTATGACTATCAACGTTCCACTCCATAGCCTTGTAAATTTGAACTCAATCCACAAGACAAGGAAACTTCTGTATCAAGGATTAGGAGCGAGAAACTTTGCCTTCATGGAGAACTTTTTTGATGAAACGAGCCCGCATTTGCGTTACATAAAAAGGAAAACCACAAAAATCTTTCACAGTTAGCCTGATGGCAAGGGGACTCTAACCTGTGATCTTCCTACCACTGAGGATATTTTTCATCAACACTGTGGTTAGTGTGAGCCAGGTGTGGAATTCGTATAGACCAGCGATCACTGTGATTCGAACCTAGGTCACCTCATTGGGAAGCAAGTGCCCCTCCCCCTGTGCAACGATGGCTTACTTAATGCAATTCCAATTTTAAAAAGAAAATAAAAAAATAGTCTGAAAGATTGGAAGTGGACAAAAAGTAATAATCTCTTAGGAAACAATTAATGAACTTCCATATAGTAGTGTAAAAGCAAAATTTCAAGCATTATGTCTTCTTTTCATTATTGCATCGTAACTTCGATATATTTCCATCATTACTCAATAGTAATGATAACAAGAAGAGCTAATGTATTTATTAGTATTATTATTACAATATTTTAAGTTATTATTATGTACAAAATAATAACAGTTAAAGACTAACTCATATTACATTTAAAAAGCAGAATTCTATAAAAGATTGTTGACATCTGACAAATAAGATTCAAGTCATACTTAGGATTATTTCATGGCAAAAAAACAATATATTAAATATTCTAAATTTTTTTTTGAAATAGTAAAACTTTTAAATGAAGGGAAATTATGCTAACACATTTCAAATTATGGATAGGAATAGCTAATTTCAAATAAGCTTTGTCCTGACTACTCTTGTGAAATGAAAAAAAAATTTACATCGAAGAGATGTGAATAAATTAAATATTCAAATTAGTCAAACCATAAAACACTTTTAAAAAAATAAAAAAAATTCATAACAATAAAAGTGATAAAAATATATTTATTTACTCTCTCTAAGTCCCTTCGTCGAAGAACGAGTTTCTTCATGAAAGTGAAAGGAGAATTTTCTTCCTCAGTTACTTTCTCCAGGTTCTGCACTCTAGGTGTAAGTAGTGGACGATTTGCATTTGCCTTAAAAAATAATATAAATATTTTATTTTTGTAAATAATTTAAAAACAGATTTAAAAAAATTCAGCTATAAACACTAAAATTTGAAATAGTAAGAAATAAATACCCTTCTTTTGAGTTTCCAGTAATAAAAGATTGATTCGATTTCACTCTTATCACATTCAAACTGTTCAGCAATATCATCAATACTAACATAATTATAGAATTCAGCTTCCTTTTCTGATATCCTTTTAGAAAAAAGGAGGGGAAATTAAGTCAACATCATAACATCCTCAATTTTTTCACGATAAATTTCAATGATTTGAATCATAATCAAATTGACAAAAATTAAACCATAACAAAAAAAAAGAAGAAAAAAAATGAAATACATTTAAAAACAGTGTAGTTGTAATTTTTAATAAAATAACAAGTAAAAAAATATATCTATAAAAAAATAGAAATTAAAATACAAATATGAGATTTTGTTAAGGAAAAATTTTCTGAATTTAATAAGATTTCAATACTGAATTCTTTTTTTATTTTATATAAAAACTATAATTTTGACACCATTTAAAACACTAAAATTAAAAGAATACATTATAATTTTTTATTCTTAAACTTGTGTACAGGGCAATACATTTTGATTTGTCAAAATTAAAATTCAGAAATTGATCAATTTTATCAAACACCAATTCCATAAATCATAGGACAAAAAACTTGCATTTTTTATAAAAATTAAAAAAAAAGAAAAAAAAAAGAAAGTGCTGTTAAAATAAAAAATTTTCCATTCAAACAATTAATATATGCACGAAATATATCAAAATTCTTAGTAAAATGGAGTGATAGTTTTTATTTTTAAAAAGTAAATATATGGGACCATTAATTCCGTTATATTTTTGCCAGACAAATTCTGATAAAATATTAAAATCACAAGAAATTGTTCTTCAAAAAGGTTTTAATTCCAAAGGTCAAGTAGACAAGTTAAAGAATTCATTAAACAACAGCTAGCTACAATTACAAAAAGATAAAGAGTTAATATATATTTCACTATTACAGAAAAAATCTCCTTCCTACAATGGTAATTTTAAACATTTCAAATAACTTGACATTTTATGAATAATTTACATAGAAATGATTAATCTTCAAATCAATTACTTCAACTGTCTAAGATTAGCCCTTTCTTCATTGCTTAAAGAATCTCGTTTTAAAACAGCATGCTCTTCTTCAGAATCAGAAAACATACCAGGCCTCTTATTGCTGTGTTTTTTACAAAAAGCCTAGAATAACAAAGAAATATATAGACATGCTTTTTGTAAAACAATTATAATTTTTTTTTAACATTAAAGGAAATAAAAACAAATGAAACTTGACAAACATTTTCAGTTAATCCTCAATCCATTATTTCTGCATTTTTCATTTTCCCATGTGAATCGTCTTGTTTTAATAGTCATGTTACGAATGCTTTTCTTATAATATTAATACAGTTTAAATCGTTTTAGTAAATAGAAGATTATGTCTATTTTCAGAAGTTTCATCAACATTAGATAAAAAGTAATAAAATGAAGTTATTTCGTTTTGAGAAGAAAAAAAAGTAACTCCCGACAATAATGATAGAAAAGTAAAATGAGGATTAATTATGGTTAGTAAAAATGCCTGAAAAATTAACTTTGATGTTATGATGAAAATGTTGGAATTGTGGTTAATTTAAGGAACGGTTGCAGAAGCTAAAAAAGAGCAAAGCGGTAACAATGAAGATGGTAAAATGGAACCATAACCAGCTCAAACATCAGCAAAAAGCCTTTGAAACAATTGTGGAAATTTCTATTTTCCCATAACCTTACAGAAAATGAACAGTAGTCCTTCACATGCTAAAAATTGATGTTTTTTGCGTAGATAAGAAAAAGAGTATGTTCAAACCGAAATTTCTAAAGATTATAAAAAAATAATTGTATTTATTTTTCTTTTGCCTAGAATATATTTTTGCAGTTAGAATAAGACTTTTACAATAAAATTTTTTATACTTATTGTAAATTTATTAATTGAAGATTTATTATTTGATATATATGGCTGTTCCTCATTAGTGATTTTTTTCAGTATATAGCATTAACAATAAATGATCCCATGAGAAACAATCAATCAAGGTTCAACTGCATGATAATTTAAAACACTGAATGCATATCTTACTCTAAGTTCATCATCTTCAGTGTAAGCATTTTTGACGCAGGCTCTCATCTGTAAACCTTCATTAAAAGCACAAGTCACATGAAATGCAACTTTGCAATTTTTTTCCTAAAAAAAAAAGGACACAAAGGAGTTGTTTAAAAGATTGTTTGAAATTAAACAGGTATCAAAAAATTAAGGTACACTCTTGCCTTTAGGGCATTTATTTTAAGAGAATACTAAAAAATAAATGATTTTGGATGCATAAAAAGGATGTACTTATCGATAATGTTTTACTGAGCTTGTATTTAAAAAGCTAGTAAAAAAAAACATTTTTAATCACTTTAAACAATAAAAAGCTCATCTGTAACTTATATGTGAGTAAAGTATGAGATAAATTCAGGACCAGCAGTAAGGACTTAATTATTAACCAGTAAATTAGCTGGACATCAAAAGTATTAGCCAAACTTCAAAAGTCAGTTTAATATGTTCCCTAATTTTTTATGATTAATTTTTTCCCCCATTGAAAACTCCAACATCAAAATCGAAATCAAGAGTCATTTGGAGGTAGGATGAAAAATGTAGATGTTTTATCATTTTTGAGGAAAATAAATAAAAATAAGTTAGGGTTAATTCTTGATAAATTCTTAGACTAGATCAGAAACATAAGTAAAATTTAGATTTTTTAGATTCCGACTATCTTTTAAGTACACATATTTCATAAATGTAACGTTTCATTCAAGTCTTATTTTTAAATGAAAGGATACTATTTTGCTTATTTTTCACTGTCGTAATGTAATTATTCAGAAGAAAAAAAAGAATTCCTGCGGAAAATAAATTATTTCTGCTTCATTCTGATTTATGGATTATTATACTACACACAGGGATTTTTTTTAAAATCAAAATTTGGACTGGGGCTCAACACAGTCATTACCAGCCCAGTGCAGGTGGTTATAATATATCATTGAAAAGTGGTAATCTATAAAGTTAAAATCATTAAATCTTCTTATTTCAACAACGATTTTAGTTTTACAATAAGTTTATTTTAAAAAACAATATGTTATTGTCATGAGAAAACATATTTTCTGCAAAAATAGTTCAATGATAACATGCATCTAGCTACCACTTAAACAACTTTATTGACACAAACTGTAAGAGTCACGTGGCATTGCGTGATTCGGCATCAAACATGTGAATCTGTATTGTACAGGTTTTTTGTTTCTAATACTTGCAGAATCTTTCTTGTTGCTTAGATTATAAAGAATTAATATAATTCTAATTAGCTAAGCCAAGTATCGAACAGAAATTACTGTGTTGAACAAAAAATGCAAGATTTGTCCAGAAAATTTTCTTATTGACGTAATTTTCAGGATAGAGGGGAATCTATCTTTCTTGTTGGTAGGAGTACCTTTTTGTCAATATTTTTGCCAAAACGCAATTTGTTTTACTGAATTTACGTTTTTATCGCATTTGTCGAGGTGGCAACCTTAACCTTATAACTGTTAATTGAATATATATGTAAGTATATCACGTGCAGGGATATATAACATAAATTGCTAATTTAATATATGAATATAAGTATATTATAATCAGGTTTCAATGGATTTTTATACAAGCACAGGATAAACAGTTGATAGTTTAAGGTATGGGGTATTTTTAATAAAAACTGATTCAAATAATAATTAAAAACGAAAATATAATTAGATTTATTTATTTAGAATTATATCACATTAAAATAGTGAAAGGGTTGGGGGAAAATAACTTGTTTTATTATTATTCAATGCAAGAAATCACACTTAATAAATTATGCCTATACAAATTAAAAAAATTATTTTTTATTTTGAGAGTAAAAAACTTTAAAAAAAAACTTTTATCTTGAAATTAAAAAAAGAAATTGATTTAAATAAAGTTTGGAAGGTTTCAATTTCGGCAGACCTAGGCTAATTAAAAGCATGTTTTTAAAATAAAAGTTTGTTAAAAACATAAAATGAAAACATTAAAAACAATCAAACATGAAAGCAAATATATAATCAATAAAAACCAAGTATTTAAAATGTAACATTTAAAAAGTGAAGTTTTATTCTAGAATTAATTTATTTCATATAGTTTACACTTACATTACCTAAATGCTGTGTTACTTAAAAAACAGAAGTTTTCAAAAATTCTGTTTTTAATACATAATATATTGAAAAATAACTAGAAAATGATTTGTCATAGATTGCCAACTATTTATAAATGAATAAAATTGTGAAAAGATAGAAAAATTGCAACTGACCCTAAGTTAACAATGAAAAATTAAGTTTAGGAGGGCATAGGTAGAATTATAATATTTATTAAATTATTTTTATCTTGCTCTCCAATGAAGATACAAATAATTTAGTACTTGTCTAAGAAATAAATAAATTATAGAAAAAAAAAACAATAATTCAGAAATCTTAAAAAATATAAACTTACACTACACAGAATACAGGCTCCAGTTTTAACATTACAGATTGAACAAATAAGGGCCCATCTGCCTGCCTATAAGAAGAAAATAAAAATCGTTACAGATCTTTCCCGTCCACTTTCCAACATAAAAATTAATACTTTTAAAAATGCACAAGGTTCATTCAGTTTTATTTAATAAGCATGCAAAATATAATATAAATAAACTCTTCCATATTTTTATTTATCATATCTAAAATTATTCTGGGTGTTATTGTATTAATTGCCTATCTGCTTGCCTATGAAAACAAAATAAAAATCATTATAGATTGCACAAAACACACTCTCTAATATAAAAATTAATACTTTTAAGAATGTGCAAGGTTTATTCACTTTAATTTAGTAAAAATGTAAAATATAATAAGAATAAACTCTTACGTAATTTTATCAATCATACTTAAAATTATTCAATGCGCTATTACAATTTAAAGATAGAATAGGTCCCTATACGTATACTTGATCAAATTCCATTTATTGAGTAATTTATTTTCTCCATCACTGAACCAGCATTACAGTATCCATGAAAAAGTTTATTCTAATTTCCCAGGATTTAATAGAAAAAGCTTGTGAATTAACGAATTGAATTTTGAAATAGAAATACATAAATCAAATAATTATACAATTTTTTCAAATTACTGGAGCTTATCGCACCTCACAAATGAAGTAAGAATAAAATAAGAAAAAAAAATTTAGCTAGACTATTTCTATTTGCTTAAATTGCACTAAAAAATATGATTTATAGTAGTTAACCCACCAATATATTAAAAACTTTTCCTACTAAGAAAATTTCCTATTTCAATTTAAATTTTGTTTCAATTTTTAAGAGTAGTTGTCAGAAATCATATAATTATTCTATAAGCTAGCAAATCACTAGCATTATAAAAGATACACAAATACCACACCATAAAAGTGGACCAGTAGAAATTTTTTGATGAACCATTAAAAACTACTGCTTTATTGAGTGAAATGTTGAGGACGAACATATAAACATAAATTGTAAATATTTTGTGAACTGTAAATTATAATCAGATGAATACTCGAAAATCAAAATGTATGTCAGGAAGAAAAAAAATATGTGAGCACTTTGGGAGAACCATAAACTTAAATAATGCTGCCAAAAATTACCATGTTTTCACTTTTCATGATCAGTACCTCAGGGTCTTTAAAACACAACTGTAGTTATTTTCAGGTACCAAAATGTACAAAAAAAAGTCTAAAATTTCAAAAAAGTTCCTCATTAATTAATTCATGATTTTTAAAGGAGATACAAAAAGCTTAGCAATGCCTTAAAAAGAATTTCAAAAGAGGACATTAATACAAAAATTTATTCAATACTGTATCCATTCAATTGACAAAATTGTCACAATCTAAAATAGAAAACAATGTTTAAATTAATAAAACAGTAACAAAAATTCATATTACTCACAGGAATTTGAGATATTTTTATTATAGGCTCCATTTTGATAAAATTAAAAAATGATACTCCAGGAATCCAAACAGCACATCCTACATGAGCCCATTTTTGACCACACCTGAAAAATGGAAAATATAATTAAAAATTGAAATACAACATATAAAATACTTTCCAGTTTGTTAATACTGAAATAAAATTGAAATATGTAGAAAATTTTTTGAAGGGCATCAATGTGGATTAAGACTGTGGGTCAGCTTATGAAAAATAATAAAAAGTTGAAAAATAATTTGTGGAATAAAGCATCCACTACTGTGGATCAGCTTTTTGAAGCTTTAGACAGATTATGGAAAAGTTTTATGAATATGATACTGATTTATGTAGGCATTTTATCGGCTTAAAGCAAGCATTTGACAGCATCAAAATTAATAAAACTCACAAAAATAACAATCAAAAAGACAAAGGCCAGTATAATTACATAGCTCGAAGAACAGGAGATGCATTTGAGTTTAACAAAGATGTTAAGCGAGGTGATTCACTCTCAGCAGAGCTGCTCAACATTGCCTTGCATTTGGGTATCACATAAATCAATGAAGAAATGTATTCAAAAAGTCAACACAAACTTTTACATATAGAGACCATGTAATATTTACTGCTAAAACAAAAAATGGACTAATTCAACTAATAAAAGAACTAATGAGAAAAGCAAATAAAATAGGTTTGAATTTAAATAAATTAAAAAGGGAATTTTAATTAAATAATTTTAAGGGAACAAATACCGTATCTCAGTAATGAAATAAAAACAATAAGTTTGAAACTCATGACTGCATAAATAAACAGATACAAAATGGGAATAAAGCAGTATTTGTAAATAATAGATCACTAAAAAGTAAATTAATCTCAAGAAAATGTAAAAAGCAGATATATGAAACCCTAATATGGCCAATATTAACGTATGGATCTAAAACCTAAATTTTGTCCCAAAAAAAAAATGAAAATATATTAAAATATTTTAAATGTAGTATAATTAGAAGAACTTATGGAATCATTAATGAAAATAACATATGGAGATTGGAGATAAAGATATAACCTTAAAATGGAAAAAAATTAATTGAAAGTAAATACACAAATTTCTTGAAGCTGAAAGAATACAGAAAAGAATGAAGGAAACAGACAAGTCTAAAAAAATCATGAAAGAAAAATCATATAATAATAAAAAAAAAGATGACTAAAGCTGATGGTTGAGTCAAGTTTAGGTTGGAAAAAAATGGAAAAAGAAATCTGGGGAGACAGTGACACGGAATTCTATTGTAAAAAAAAAGCCTACCAAGGGCTGTAGAGTTAAGAAAGAATAAGACTAAGGAATATTTATTTATTCTTACAAATTAGAGAAGTTTAGTATATTTTGACCAAAAAATCTATCCTTAAGAATTGATGAAAAATTTACAAACCATGGCCAAATGAAAATTTTATATTTAATCATATGCATTTAAGTGATGCACAGGATTTGAATCTGCTTGAGTCTCAGAGCAGAAAATTTTTAAAAGTTGTTTAAGTTTCTGAAGCGATTGAGTTAGCGATATGAATTTGTAAGAGACTGTTGAATTTTTAAAAAGAAATTATTTACTGCAGATGTTTCCAATAGTATGCAACATGGTGCATAAATCCTTAATTAATCAAATCGAAAAGAAAGAAAAAAAAAATTTGGAAAAAAAGAAAAAGAAAAAAAACAATTAAAAAGTTTTAATACATAAAAACAGTTGTTAAAACTACCAAACAAGAGCATTTTTTTGGACCAAGATAAACAATCCAAAATATGGTTCAAAATTTTTTAAACAATGTAATTCTAAAAATCTTTTAAGAAAATTAAATGATGTATCAATGTTGGTTACACACATGAGAGCACTATTTTGAACCTCTAGAAATCTAACAAGACAAGTTAAATATAACATACCTCAACGTTTTCATGGCTCCTCCTCTATTAGGGCAAAGTACACAGGCAGGCCTGATACCAAGAGCACAGGTTCGACAAATCCAACTACCTTCAGGTATTTTTGTTATTCCATAGCATATTTGATGAACACATATGTTACACGAATCACAAAACACCATTTCATTATTCTCCTGAGAATCCGGCTACAGAAAGAAAAAAGGTTTAATTAGAAAATATAACACATAAAATATGTGAGCTTGCTAATATAATATATATACATAGAATAATGTGAACTTAGCACTATCAGATGCAGGTTAAGCAAATTTTCTTGATTACTACGAAACTAAGTGAAAAATCTCTTGCAACATCAACTATTACAGGATATCAAAATTTTCTAGACTTGTATAACGAAATGTCCAAAATGTTGTTAACTTTAATATGGAAATAAAAACATCTTTTCTCAGGGTGCGAAGTAAGTAAAACAAAATTCTATTATATCTAATAAAAAAATAAAATTACAAAGGAAATAAAAGTCAAAATAGCAAAAAACACTGAAGTGAGGGAGCAAACACTCTGTAAATTTTACAAAAAAGTAACCTCAACATATATTTTCTTTGTAAATATTAATAATTACCAAAAAGAAAAGAAATATTCATATAATTGGTAAATGATACAAAAAATAGAAAAATTATTCTTAAAAAAAGCTTATTGTTACTATACTATTAAAAACAATATTCAATTCAAACTTAATTACTCTATTATTATTATCTACTTATAAAAAGAGAAAAAAAGCATATAGACATGATATCCATTTGGTTTTTGGTTGATTAATTGATTAAGGCGTATTTTAGCAGTGACAAATCCAGTGAGATGTGCCAGCTTGAGAGCATCAGATGTTCTGGCATTGTTATTGAAATTGTATATGTGCAGAAATTTGTTGAATCTTCGAGCAATTAATGATTTTTCATCAAATCAACACCTTGTCTTAAACAATTTTGATAGTAGTATGTTCAGATAAATTATCAGAGTTTTAATTGGTTCACCTTGGTTTACAATAAAGTTGAATGAAGTACAATAAATTTAAAGTATAAATGGGAAAAAATTGGCTTCATGAATACAGTCTTACAAAAACAATTTCCAGTTTTTTAGATAAATCTCTTTCCTGCATTAAAAAAATTTTAACATTTTTTCAGAAAAAATGAAGGAATAAAAAATAAAAATTCTAAAACATACTGATCGGCAAACATCACAGATGGCATCTTCATCATACTCAACGCCTAAGCCTTCTTCACTTTTTATTGCTTCTTGAAAATTAACATATGCCTAGAAATTAAAATAAAACTTTAACAACATTTCTTAAATTTTTAACAATTGTTGTAAGAAAAGAATAAATCTTAAAAATATTGGAAATAAAAGTTGTACTTCGATAATCTGAGATACAACAGAAAAACATAGAAACCATTCTTATGCCTAATTGTGACGACAATCATTAGGTGATTTTTTTTTACAATTAATTTTTTTCTTTTCTTTAAAAAAAAATTAGCAGAACTGAGATTAAGGATTGAAAATTACTATTATCTAGTTCTTTAATCTTTTATTTATGACTCAAATATAAGGGCAACGGAGAAATGAAGTGTTTAAAGGAAAGTATCACAAGGTGAAGCTACTTTTAAAGAAATCATTTTCACCAGTATTTTTTCTCCCTTCTCTACGTTAAGTGCATTCATTTAATTCTCCCACTAAAATGCTTTGTTGTTTATCTTCTAATTTCTGAAGTTGCATGGAACACACAGAAATATTAAGTAGCAGAGAATATAATTAAAACTTGTGATAACTTTACATATAAAGATTGGAATTCAATTTTCATAATGTCGAAACAATGTTATATGTGACAAAAAATTTAACTAATATTATTAAAATAAATTTGTATTAGAAATAGATAATTATCATAGACTTGAATGAGTATAAATTGAAGGCAAATAAGAAAAGAGTTTGCACAACATCTTAGTACATAAAAATAATACTATTTATCATACTGCTTATGTAAATATAATAATTACAATATGTAATTACCTGAACTTCAAATTCTTCAATAACTTGTTCAAAGAAACTCTCTTCAACAGGAGAAAGACCTATTAGATAGCAAGCAATTTGCAAAAATTATTAACTTAAAAATAAGATTATCTAAGCATGAAAACATTCTTACCACTTAATGCACAATATATTTTTCATAAAACTAATAGTTCAATTTCCTGTATTAGTTTTTAAAAGTTAAGGTTGTGAGACTGTTGATCCATATGAAGTTGACCAGTATCCCAAAAAAACTAAAACACTGGTTGCTATGTAACTAAAAGCATTCTCGAAAGCGTTTTCTTTAAAATTTAGTGGCTCAGCTGACAGCCCAATACAATGCAAAGTCAAGTAGAATAGTATCAGAGCACACTGTTCAGCAGACACTGTTGGATATGGGGCTACGCAGCAAACGTCCCTCCCACTCGTGTGCCTTTGCTGACCAAGCGTCATCGCCAACTACGCCTGCGCTGGGCCCGGGAATGGATCAGTGGGAGAGAGTTGCTTAGTCAGTTTAATCACGGTTTGTCATTCATCACGTCTCTGGGCCCGTGGTTATGGTAGAGCAGACCATAAATGCTACAGGGTATCTGAACATCATTGCGGACCAGTTGCACCCTTACATGGCCTCTGTTTTTCCAGCTGGAAATGGAATTTTCCAACAACGCCCCATGTCACAAGACTCAAATTGTGTTGGAGTGGTTCCAGGAACATTATGCTGAATACCAGTGCAGCTGTGTTGCAGGCTAAAGGTGGGCCAACTCGTTATTAAGAGGTGGTCAAAATGTTTTGGCTCTTGAGTGTATATATATTTAAAAAAAAAGTGTAACACATAGATTGACTTTACTACTAATGGTCCAAGACCACTAAAATGTCACTCAGACCACCATAAACGAATTTTAGTGGTTTATTGCAAGAGAAGGGATACATACCTGCCAACATTGTAATCTGCATGGCCTTGCAATTCTGAGCAAATGTTTCACTCGACAAAGTGTGTTATACAGTGTGTATAACACACTTTGTATTATAAGTGTTATTAAAGGACATTTTTAAAACAAAATTAAGAACTATCTGTTACTAAATTTATAAAACCTTTGAAAATACACTAGTGAATTTTGCTAATTTTTATAAAAAAAAAAAATTCATTTTGAAAACAATAACAAAAAAACTTTTTTTTTTTTAAATCCTGACTATTTTATTATACAATTGTTTTTTACATAAATATTTATACTTTATCACAATTTCAAAATTCTAGAATTAAAAAAAAAGAAAAAAATTAAATCAATGTTAAACTTAATTAACAATTATAGCCTTAAATGTTCATATGTAGCAGACTTAGTTGCTTTTAAAAAATTCTTTATTGATAGTCTGCTCATAACATCCAGCAGTTAGAGTGGTTTTGGCATTTAGAATGTCTTCTAGTAATTTATCAGATAAAAAACATTATACGAATTCCTTTTAACAATGCTGAGCACCCTTTCACATCCAGCATTGCCGTGTGGAATGCTTAAAATAGCCACCATGATTTTTGCTATCCAACTATATTATCTGAAATATACATCACTAGATGCTAGTTTAGAAATGAAATCCCATTTTTGTCTTGTTTTTATTTCTTGTTAAACCACAGAAGGTAAATCAGTAATTCGCAAATCACTGAATTTCTCTAAAAGTCCATCTCTTTTCATCAGCTAGTTAACACAGATGGATGGAAAATATTTTCATGAAGAAATTAACAACTTTGAATGATTTTGTGTGTAACTTTTCAATATCTACTACTTCAGCAGACAGTGAAAACTCTTTCTTCAAAGGAAATTTCTGCCATAAATAGTTGCAGACAGTAATATAATATTTTTTATATTGCTATAGAAAAGTTGCTTCTCTTCCATTTTTAAGACTGATATTAATTTGTTTCTCTGAAACAAAGTTAATGTTTATGAGTGATATCTAGTTTATGTTCATGAATAATATCTGCTCTTATAAATTTTGAAACAAAAGCTTTTAATAAATTTAATAAAATTTAAAGTATGAATTTTTGGCTTATTAGACAGTAGGATAATTAATGTTTATCAAAAAATGGGATAATGAAATTTAAAAATAAAGAACAAGCTTTTGCAGACATCCGATGAAAGAAAGAAGCATTTGTACTTCCCTAGTCAAAGTTGATTGCTGTTTAGAAGATTTTGTTGAAGAATTACCTTTCAATTTCTTTGTAAGTTTTTCTAAATCTGAAGGTCTTTTCTTATCAGAAAGATGTTCGTTCTAACCTTTGCCGATTTTTTTAAAGGTATGTAATAGTAGTTAAGACTATTGCATTTGTCCTTTTCATCTATTTGATCCTTATAAAAACCACACAGAAGATTTCATTGCTCTAGGAGTCTCTTTAAGCGTCCACTCAAAGAGAGCCACCTTGTGCAACTATGTTTTAAAATTTTGTGTGTAATAACATCAAAACTTTTAAAGCTTTAAATTCAAGTTTTTTTTAACTATTTTCTAAATAAAAAAATATCACACAAAACATTACTAACTGAAACAGGTAAAGAAGCCGCCTCTCTTTGAGCAACAATGAGTATTGAATAGCAAGGACAGCCAAATACAAAAATTTCTTGATTAGCTGTTTTTATTACAGCAATGACACTATTCTTTGAGCCAACTACCACCAGCGCATTATTGCAACTAAGTGCCAAACAATTTTCCAGTGAAATATTTAAAGATTTTTAAGTATTTAACATCAAATTACCACTAATCCGTCCTGTAGAACTTGCTTCTAAAGTCAGCACTTTCAGCAGCGATACCTTAACTTTGCCGATATTTGTGACGAAGTACAACACAAGTATAGGATAAAGTTGAGCATCTGTATCGTTGCTGTCATCAGTAGCGATAGCAAACATTTGCCTCCGAAGTGATTCTACAATTGAAGCACTTCTAACATCTGCTATTTTGGACACAATAGCAGTTTGCGTTCGTCCTGAACCATAATGCTTCGCAACATCACTTTTAGGGAACCTATTTCTAAATAATGGGCCTGCATGATCTGTGACACTAAGATGTGGATTATACTCTACAATGAACATGAATGATGTAACATACACTTCGGCCAGTATTACATCATCACCTCTAGACACAAAATACTTGCTAATTTTTCATTTTTATTTACACATTCTGACAAGTCTTAATGTCTCATCATGCGTATATCATCACATGTGCTATTTTAAAATCTAGTGCACAAACATAACAAAACGCATAGTGCTACAATCTGTTGGACTTAATTATGCAAGGAAAGCTTTTAGAATAAGATACTAAAAATATCTAGCAGTAAACTTTAGCAAATCATACGATCCTGTGATTTTTACGCAATCATACGATTTTAAAGCTTGACTGTACGGTCAGGTAAAACACTGTACAAGTTGGCAGATATGGTAATGGTATGCTGTTTTGCTTTCATGCTTTGGACTGTGCTAAATCTTAAATAAAGTTATTGCATTATAATTTTCAGTTTAATTTTATTTCATTAACTTTTAAAAAAAAATCTAACAGAGACACACAAACATACCAGTGAAAACGTGTAAGGATCACATGTAATATCTTTTAGTTACTGAAATTTTTTTAGTTTTTAACCATGCAAAATGATTGCCGAATATATAGTATAATATCTATAACTATGATAACAAAACATTTTTGATTAAAAATACAGAATATGAATTTTAATTTACCATAATCTTCTCTATCCTGATTGATCGAAGTTAACCAATGAAAATCGACACTATCCATATCATAACGACAGATTTGTTCAGCCAGCGTATTCATATAACTCATGACATGAATTGATGGGTCAAAATGGGAGTCACGAGTAAAACGAATCAGCTTCTTGTCTCTGAAAATTTTAATAAGAATTAATAATAAGATATGGATTTTGGTTCTATTTTAAAATTTAAATACATATCATATATATAAATCAAACATATTTTTAAAATATATTATAAGCGAAACTGTAAACAATTCACTAAATGTCCTTTATGAATTTATAAATTAAATTTATATTGGGTTGAGTCAGAAGAAAAAGAAATAAAATCACTGGACATTTCCAAATGTTTAAATGGAATTTTAATAAAAACTCTAGACCAGGTAAGACATAATATTTAATAGAAAAAGCATTGCGAATCAAAATATAATTCGAGGAAGTAACTTGATATTTTTAATTTCTGTTTTTCAACTACCCTTTGATTTATTTTCTTTATTCTGAATTGATTTATGGCGGTGAATGTTAGAATTTTTTACTTTGAATGTCTGTGACAGCTTGTTCCAATCCTAAGATTAGTCATTAAAAAAATTTTTTTTGGCAATTCTCAGACTTCTTTCTGTTGAAATGAAATTTCCCGAAAAATGTAGGTTTTCCCATAACCTGTTTTAGTATAAGGTAGGTAAAAATTTTAAATTTTTTTCTTCAAATTTCACGCATGCAAAAAGAAATAACACAAACTGCGAAATTGTATTGAATTAAAAGTCTAATTTTCCACTAAAAAAAAAAAACCGGGAATGAGTCATGAAATTTCAAACTTCGTCAATAATAGAAGTACTTACTGCTTATAATGGGCATCTTTATTTCTTTTCCGGAATATCCTAAATGAAATAAGACAGTTAGCCATTTTTCTTTTAACAACAAAGATTCATATACTTAAAGAAAAATCACATATTTGTATGGACTAGCATTTCCTTTCCATTAATACTAATATTCTATCATGAAAGGTACATTTGGAGAACATCGCAGACCAACTGTTGTAAAGTTAAAATTTTCAATGCACTTATAACTCAATAAATTTTATTGAATAATGAACCTTTCAGAATGATCACATCAATGATTTTGACAGTAGAAACACCACACTTATAAAGTTTTAATAAAATGCACATGTAGCTGTTAAAGTAATCGATCTTACTTTGCTAAAAAACAGTAATGTTTGATAAGATTTAGGATTAACTTTTAAGAATGCCCAATATTCTAAAAAACTTTTTTGAAAGAAACAAAAAGGTGTATTTCAGAATAAGCATAGATAGAAAAAAAAGTGATAAGAGTTAAATCTTATATAATAAATCACCAAGGAATGAAAATATAAATATGAAATAATAAATAATGTAAAAATGAAAAAATACAGCTAAAAAATAGTAAGAGTGAAATAAAAATAATACTTTTAAATCTGGTTGCACCAGAATCTAAATCATGATTGTAATTACCTGAATTTTTCAACAAAAAAAATCATATTTTACAACAAGTCTTCTAATAAAACTTGTTATCCAATTAAGTTTCAGCAAAATTTCTTAATAGAACTCATAATGTTAGTTTAATTTTTTTATAGGTAATTTAATATCACTAAGACTTTTCTGATTTAAAAAAAAAAAAAAAAAAAAAAAAAAAAAAAAAAAAAAAAAAACATTAAGAGTACATTTCAGTAAAAATTTGTTTTATACCAAATAAAGTAGCAGAAAAACCACAAAAACAATTCAGCAAAAAAAAGAAGAAAAAAGAAACACTTTTACACTCTAAACAAGAATTTAATTTTATTATTTTCAACAAAAGAATGTTGTAACATTTCATCTGTGTTAAAATTTTGTCATCAAAGGAAAGGTTTCAGTTAATATTATATTACATTATCATTAAGCACAATAAAGCTAAACTTAGCTAGCATATTGAAGATTTAGCTCAGTGTTTTGGTAAGTAAAATACTTATAGAGGTAGTACATGTAAACAAATAGATTTTTCTTTAATTCTAACACTAATTTTTTTTTACCAAACAATTTAAAAAATTCCTGTCAAGTTATCACTTGACAATCTGACTGGAAACAATTATTACCTAAAGGTTGGTTCGGGCAAAGTATCAGGGTTAACAGGAACTTGTACACCTCTCTCCCAATCTGTTCTCCAAGAATCTTCAATAATAACATATTCTTCTGGTGCTAGAGGTTCACTATCAGGCATTTTCATGGCACTAATAAGATCTGCTCGAAACAGCTGAAAAATAATAAAATTGATTTTAAAAAAAATTATGGATGTACTTTTTAAACTCAACACTGTAACTAGATAATTCAATCAATAGAAACAAATATTTAAAAAATTAGCAGATCAAACTTTTATCTTACCTGATCAGGATGATTACTCTGTTTGAAGCGATTATTGTAAATTTTGGATGTTGGTGGTTCAGCATATTTCGATGAAAGATAAGCTAAAATAAATAAATAAATATTATTCTATCTAAATTTGTAAATTAAACTCTCATAGAGTAATATAAAATGCACAATTCATTTTAAATTTTCGTAAAGGGGAAAAATCGCTATTCTCCCTTTATATTTATTATTAATCTTACTAGTATAAAATATTATCTACTGTATAACTTTACTATCCAATAATGAATTAACATTATATGCTACAATTAAAAATCTTAAAAAATAATGTAGAACCTGTACTGAGTCCGATTTATAAATGAAACAGACATAATATCTGTTTAACACAGATTGAAAATTTAACGTAAATTGATTAGGTTGTAGTGTTTTGTAATTAATAAAGAATACAAAGAACTCCCAGAAATACAAAGTTTTTCAGAGTAAACAGGAATTAGAAGTTTTTTGTAAGAAAAACTTTTAACTCTTTCTTAACTTCATTTATATTGCAATTGACTTATCTTATTCTAATTATTAATTAAAAATAAATAAATATTCAGTCCTTTTTAAAGTACAAGAACAAAATAGCAAGAAACACTTTAATACTTTAAAGTGCAGTGTTCTGGCTTAAAATAAGTCAAATTTTATCGTGTTTATCTCAGTTTTATACCAAAATACCCATCCGTCAATCTTAAGTTGGTTTTAAAAATCCATTAGTGCACAAGTAAATAAGTACTTCATCATAAACACCAAATAAAACACTAATAAATATTTTTTCCCTTAATTAAAAGTAGCTCAATTCTTAAATATTCTAAAAAATTTTAGCATTGAAATAATTCAATTATGAAACATATGTAACAGTAATTTTACATGTATAAAGCATAAAATTTAAAAATGAAATTATGTAGACAAAAAATTATATATTACCAGGCCCATCTTCATCACTGCCGCTATACTTCCTCTTCCTTTTGCCATCTGAGGCTGAAAAGTTATGAACAAAAAAGTTAAATAATATTCAAAATAATGTAGTATAATTAAAATTTAAAAATGAGATATTAAGGTATTACATATAAGGTAGATTTTTTTAAAGGCATTTAGCATTAAACATAAAGAACAGTTACTAAAAAAGAATTTCTTATATTAAGTCCATTACTATCATTTCATTCATATCCTTTTAGTTACTTTAAAAAGTTTTTTCTCTCCTACTCGCTATCATTCGCCAACCTCCAGAACTGAATATGTAGTTCATTTTAGATTACTTCACAGATTACACTTTAATCGTTTCATTTTACCCTTCTATTCTTTACCCAGTTTTTACACCTAAAATATATTGGATGCTTAGAATCCTGCCTGTTTTCCTACCCCCAGAAACTACAAATGCAGAACTTTTTAGACTGGTTTGGTTGATTTATCGATTTGTTCATTTACGCCGCACTAGAGCTGCAGAATGGGCTATTGGCGACGGTCTGGGAAACATCCCTGAGGATGATCAGACGACATGCCATCACAATTTTGATCCTCTGCAGAGGGGATGGCACCCCCGTTTCGGTAGCCCGACGACCTGCATGCGAAGTCGAGCACTTTACGGTAGAACGGTTTAACAAGGACCAATACCACACACTCTCGGCCCCTACGCAGACGGATCCAAGTGGTCACCCACCCGCACACTGACTGCAGTCAGTGATGCTTGACTTCGGTGATCTGCTGGGAACTGTGTCTTAACGATCAGTCCACTGCGGGACNTATGATAAAAAAAAACATTTCTTCTCTTCAATGTTTATTTATTTTGATAAATCTATTGTTCATATGATAAAAATAGCAATTTTTTTTGTAAAAAAAAGTATAAGTTTTTTTATTTTTGAGTGAATTCTAAAAATGGAACACCTTTAATTTTTTACAAATATATTAAAGTTTATTGATAAAGAAATAGAACGCTAATGTTTAAATAAACATTACTGCATTTGTCATTAACATGTCTCAATACATGTGCGGCCCTTTGTTGGCCAACCTGCTGTGCAAGTGGCCCTTCACTCAAAAAGGTTGCGCTCCCCTATTTTAGCTACTTTAAAATATTTTTTCGCTCCTACTCGCTATCATTCACCAACCTCCAGAACTGCATATGTAGTCCATTTTAGATTACTTCACAGACTGCACTTCAATCGTTTCATTTTATCCTTCTATTCTTTACCCAGTTTTTATACTTAAAATATATTAGATGCTTAGAATCCTGCCTGTTTTCCTACCCCCAGAAACTACAAATGCATAACTTTTTAGACTGGTTTGATTGTTTATACCTTCTTCATCAAGCAGTTTTTACAGAGAGAGAATTCAAAAAATTTTCTGAAACAGAGTAGGTACTCGAATAACTTTTTCTTAATACTTAAAAAATGAAGTTATATCTAAATAGAACTTTATTTAACAGAAAAAGTTAGTACGTCTTACATTCTTTTTCTTAAAAAAAATTAATAAATAAATAAATAAATAAAAAAGATTATTAAGTTACTCATTTTACACATAATTAAAATATTTAATTGTTTCTATTTTTAAAACAAAGTATTTTGTTAGAAATCTATTACAAGCTGAGAAATTTAACAAAGCCTATACAGTTAAGAGATAAAATACTTTTACACTCAGAACTAAATCTTTTAAAAAAATGTGACCTGTCACTTACTTTACCAAATTTATACCACTATTAATTTCACTAATTATAAAATTAAAATATTTTCTTAAAATCAAAATGGTTTGCTTTTGAAATCTAGTATTCATGTTTGATCACTGCACTCTAATACTCAATTTTAAAAAAAATTATTCTAATACATCTGCTAGTGCCAAAGACAAACACTATAATACCAATATGACTACTTTAGCACGAGCAGCAATAAAAAAAAAAAGAAAAAGACAAAGAAAAAACATAATACTTAGAAACACAATCATCTACTTAACAAATTACTAACCTTTACTACCTTTACTTCTTCGTTTAGCTGATGATGCCATTATTATTTATATGTCAGCATCAAACAATCTGAGAAAAGATAAACGAATTAGTCTTCAATATAAAAATAAACTTATTTGCAAAAAATTTAAATTCTAAAATGAAGCTAAAACAATTCTTAAATAGGGAGACAATTTTACAAAATATTGTATAATAACTTGTAAGAATGTAATCTTACAAGTTATTATACAATATTATACAAACACTTTGAGCACCATAAATAATTTAATAATTACGAGCAACGTTAGTGAGTCAAAAATTATTAACATATTTTTCCATAGTCTATCATAAAATTGTCTAAATAAAACAAAATAGAAAAAAGTTTACATGACGGCTCGATTATAAACAGATCTATAAAACAAAATATATAATACAGTTAATTTTGACACACTGAACTTTATAAACAGAAATATAGATACAGATCTATGAGTTATTTCTATATTTAACAAAATTGCCAATAAAAAAAGCTTAATTCAAGTAGGTGATACATGCAGAATAGGCTAGGTTACAGACTTCCATGTTGGGAAGCTACTTATTCTTAACTAGAAAACATTCAAAAAATAGAAACATTCGGAAGCTAATTTCTAAATTTTATGTAGCTACTCTAGTTTATTTCTTTTTTTTCTTCTTTAAACTAATTGTATTATTATTTTTTATATAGAAGGTATTGATTTGTTTCATTTGTGTAACTCTGTTAGGAGGGGTCTGTCCAGACATTTTATGAAAGGTCCGTTTTTGTAAAATTGTGAAAAAATTACTCGCAATTTATGAATATAAAATAAACGTTAAGTCACATTCATTCAACCAGGGTCCGTTTTTGTGAATTTGTGCAAATAGGGTCCATTATTGCAAAAAAACTTTTTCAAGGAGTTTTTAAATTGTAAAGACATACAAGATTACGCTCAACACTGAAAGTATATAATCAAAAAAATTAAATTTAAAAAAATAAACAGCAACTGCAGCTACTGAACTAGCGATGCAACATATAAATATTTGGTATTTAGCCTCTACTGCTGAACGCAGAATATTAATTTCGGACGAATAAAGGAGGAAGCGTCTGCGAAAGACAAAATTTAGTTCGTTTACATGTCCCCCCCCCTCCTGGGAAAGGTTTATTCGATTAACAAAACAATAATGAAGATAAACAAATTTGTGAAGGGTCTGATTAAAAGATAAATTATTTTGTGAAGGGTCCGTTTTTAAGTTAAAATATTCTGTGAAGGGTCCGCGTTTATGAAAAGATATTTTGTGAAGGGACCCAAATTTCTTCTAAACCCTGGTTAGGTAGTAGAAAAACTTAGCAACAAAACAGTTCATTCTATTTAGGTAATAAAAAGGAATTCTATATTAGTTTATAATATCAGAATCAGTTTTAGAGTTCTGCGATAAATTAACTCAGAAGTTTCAATTGTTTCCTAAGTAAATACAGAAAAACATTAATTATGAATTCAAAGTTTATAATTTATCATTAAGTAGAGAGACTCTTGCTTACTTTTTTCAACAATGACTATGTAATAATTTTTGGTTCTTGATGATTGTTAATGAAAGAATCTAAAATATTTAATTATACTAAAATAGACAAAATACTTGATTCTATTGCAATCAAATATAAATTTTATCATTTTGCTTGGTTAGCATTGTAATTTGTCTAGAATTTGGACTTAAATGTCAGACACATAAAAACTAATTTAAGAGATTATTTAGTAGTTAATTTTTAATAATGCTTTACCTTTTTGGTTTTATTATTTTAAAAGTGCACGTTGACTGTACACAAATTTGGCACATAGCTTGTTATAAAAGCAAGTACATCTTAGAGACTGTTTTACAGTTGCATAACCGTAAATAAATTTGATGCTATTTTCTTTAAGTTTATTATATAAATGTTTAATCTCATAATAAAATAGCATTGCCTTCTATCTTTAATTTGGAATATTAAAATCGAAAACATGATAGCTGAAAATAATACTTGAAAAGAAAGACAAATAAATATTACAAGAAAATATTTTTAAGAGGTAAGCAATGGAAAAATATTCCACAGGTATAATTATATTTTTTATAATTTTTCTTAATCATCTGCTAATAAATCATATGATGATACAATAGAGAAATCTGGATCTCTTCAGATATAATTTTTAAAAAAACTATACTATGTGATTTTTTGATCAAGAATATGCAAGCAGTGAAAAATAGTTTAAAACAATTATCTTTAATAGTTTCAATAATATCATAACTTACATATTATTCTTATCTAAATACCATAAAAAATATCCTTACAAATAAGAATCCTTGTTATGTTTTGTTAAAACAAAAAGTTATGTAAGCTAATTGTGCAAGACATTTTATGTTTGTAAAATTAAATACTGTGATATATATGTACTATATACATATATACACTTGCCAAATTTTGCAGGTTGCATTATAAAAGTACCTATCACTGATTTTCTATTTCCAGACTAACAATGCAAAAATTGTTTTGGCGGAAAATGGCTTAGTAACATACAACTTTAAAAAAATACAATTCATAAAATAGATTTCCTTTAATAATGCTCTAACTTCGATTACAAACAATAAAAAAACAAACCAAAAGATTAATAAGAAAGTATTAACAATCAGTACGAATCCTATCCTCAGCATTTAACTTAATTAAAAAACTTCACAAACTGCTTATCAATTAATATCGATATAAAATATCATGCATAGTCAATCAAATTTACTTTATAGTAAAAAATATACAATACATATGTGAAATGGAAGTAAAGTGATGCTCTACTTGTTCATGACAGAATATAATTGTTATATAAATAAAGTTTGAAAAACTTATGGACATACCACTAACAAAAATAAATTGATATTATTGAAGCTTTCTAAGATATCAACCTAGTAAATTAAAAAAAAAATTGGTCAATTATGTTAAAAACCAACAGAAGTCAAAATATAATCTTCCATTAAATGTTAAATATCTGATGGCACTATTATTACAAGCATAATATATAATTATTAGATATAATAATACATAATATATAATAATTATATTCTTAACAAATAATCTGACAAATTTTCTTACAAGAACAATTACTTTTTATAAAAAAAAAACAACTATTAACTGTCAGTACTTAATAATAGGAATTAAAACAGGTCATATATAATTTTCAACTAAAATGTAAGAATATTATAAATCTTATAAAGCGTAACGATTCGAAGATATTCTTTATAGTGAGAGAGATAACCAAACTGCTTGATTTTATTAATGAATACATACATCATGAAAATCACTCCAATTAATAATGTAAACATTAGTATTATAAACATAATCCTAAAGCTGTTTATCAAGAACGAACCACCAAATATAAATTAGTATTAATGAGTTGAACAGGAAATAAATAAATATAACAATTTAAATTTTATTAAAACAATCATCTAATAATAATTCCTTAAAACAGTCATTTAAAGAATAAATGATCACACACGACGTTGTTATGGAACATAGATGAAGTGACATATACTCGATTTTTAAAGAGATTTCTCACCTAAATATCACTAGATTATAAGGAAATACCTCCTTTGTGGATGAATGTGAATGTTTGATTTCATCTAGGCGATATATATTTTTATGCATTTTATTTTTCGAAGTTACTTCTTCAAACATGCACAAATCAAAGCCGCCATCATAAAATACAACACAACATACAAACATACATGTCACGTGACAGTCCACGAGACAAATTTAGATTTGGTATAGTTTCGAATTACAGCAAAAGATAGTATTTATTTCACCACAAAGAAACAAAAATCATGCTTAATTATAAAGTATAACTGCAAAATATAACAAATATCAACACTTTTGCAGTTAGGATCAGTAAATATAGCGATGCGAATCACATCAACCCACCACAATTTCTCGACTTCCTACAACAACAGCAGTCGCCATTGTTGAAGTAGCCATGCCAGATTCCAAAACTACGATATAATAATTTAATAGACAAGAAAACAAAATCTAACTTCTACTTTTACCATAAGCATTGAGTCGGAATCCACAATAGAAATCTTTAAATCTCAAGAAAATATTTTAAATTTTGAACTGAAGATTTTAAATTGAAAAAGAGTTGATTTAAAATAATAATTTACCAACGTGCGTTAAAGCAAAAATAATTTTTAAGCAAATTTTAGTAAACTTAAATAATTTTAAAATTAAAAAATATGGTAGTAATATAATCTGATTTATTACGTATTCGAATAATTGAGGCCTATCTGGCTTAGCGGAAACGGTTTGTAACGAGGAGGTAGGCACGAATCCCACCGTAACCCCGAATGTATCTTCGTTCTGTTCTTTTCTAAATTGTCTCTTTACCGGTCTTTTTTCTTGACAAAGGCTTATAAGCCGTGCTTATGTTATTGAGCACCCAAACCTGCCTGTATGTTTACCAGTAAGTAAAATTCAAATAATTAAGTGAAACTGCTTATTTTTGTTGAAAGAGGCATGGTTCGAGGAATAGGCTCGTTTTTTATTTCCTTTCATTTTATTGACCTTAAGGAAAGCATTTAGCATGCTCCACTCATTGCCACTTTGCTAGCCAACCCACAAGCCAATTTTTTGACCCGGCAGGCAAACATGATGTCAGTTCATGATCCCATATATGCTTCGCTCATTCCGCAATAATAAAAAATAAATATTTATAATAAAATGACGCAATTTTTAATACTTATCTTATTTAAGCTTCATAAGAAATTTTTATTTAATGCTAAATTTTGGTAAAAATATCAATAAAGTTATTTTGAGATCCCAAAAATTAAGAGATATTTTTTTTATTCCACTTTAAAAAAAAGTTTTTTTTTTAGGTAGTATTACGAATTCTTGCTTTTTCACGAATATTTTTGGTTCGACTAGCAAACTCTACATTCAATCAATTCTTACATCAGCAGCTCTAAATGTGGATTTCCGCATTTATTTTTTGATTAAAAAATTTCGAAGAACTCTTTTTAATAAATTCTTTAATCTCCGAAATACTATACAAATCGAAAGCATATATTTACTTTCTTAACGTATTATATTTATCGTATATATCGTATTATATTTATTTAACGTGGCTTTAATTACTTATTTTTTGACACTATTCGAGTGTTTCATAAAAATATTTACTCATCATGAGTTGATATTTTAGTAAGTTGTTCTCCGGGCAAAGGGGCTAAAAACTTTAAGATCAGATCATAATTTGCGGATCTGACACAGATGGCTAGAGCACAATGACAAAGGCGGAATCCAGCAAAGAGTCGCCTATTTTGCTACTGCTTGTCCCAATCTTGTATCAATCCTCCAGGATTGATACAATACTACATCAAACGTATTCGAAGAGCTTGGAACCAAAGACAAATTCCGAACAATTGTCAGTCAGTGAATCTGCAATTTCGTTATCGTAGACATCAACGTGAAGGATAATAGTAGTAAAATAGATGATGTAAGGAAATAATACTTACACTAAAGAGACTATTCACCATCAGAGAGTTAAAGGTTCATCAAATGTATGTTTAAAACTCCATCTAAAGTTTTTGATGCAGATACACTAAACAACTTCATTTTTAAGACTCATTTCAGCAAAGTGAGAGAAAAACTTGTAGCTTTTTTCTTCCTTTCTTTTTTTGTAATTCTTCAAGGGAAAAAAAAAGAAGAAAAAAAACACGTGTTCCTATTTTTGGTTTTCAAGCACATTTAAAATAAAACAACTAATATCTGTAGACAATATTTCAGAAATTTGCATGCGTTTTTATAAATGTGCGTGTTCCTCCGCTCCGATTTTATACAATTTTTGCACAAGAATCTTTTACAACTTAAGATGAGTTAATTTTATAAATTACGATTTGCAAAAGCAGATACTTAAATTATCATCGGGATACCTGCAAGTGACGTAGTATGGGCATCTCGATCTTGATTGACTGTTAAAACGTGGCATTTGTCTAGGTAAGAAACTGTTCTTTCCCTTCTATTTCGAGTAAGCTAGCTCGTCAAGTATCAGTTCTCTTAAATGGCACTTTCTAAATTCTTTAACAAAGATTATTTCTCAAAAATTTCAATTCTTTTACTATATATTTACACATGGAATTAACGCAAAGATAGACACGATGCCAAGGACAACATAAACGAACTAATTAAGCATCGAAGTTGCCAGGCACACAAAACAAAAATATATCATGGTTACAATAAAATACATAAACAAATAATAAATATAAGTTAAGAAAAAGAAGTACACGAGAAAGAATTAAATTTCTACTAATTCGATATGCGATACGGCTCTGTATTTAATTAACTTATCGTTAATTAACATTCTAACTTATGTAGAGAAACTTAGCTCAACTTTAATATGCCAAAGATTGTCTCCAATAGCACATTGTGCAGCTCTAGTGCGACGTAAATAGAATACCTACCTAACTGATAAAGATTAGCTGGCACTGAAGTCATAGGTATAATGCGTGGATGCGGGAGGTCTTCTTCTTTTTGAAGTGTAAATACCCAATTGGGTACTTGCAACTCGAAAAGCAGTGGATTATGAAATGATTATGCCTGTGATTTAAATCTGATTTATTTGGATACCTGTAAGCCTGTAAACGACGTCATGCATGTGTGTTGATTCTGATTGACATCTGAATCGACAGATGCTACGAATTACTTACGATGACGTCACTTGAAGGTGTCCAATTAGATACAAAAAATAACTTTCTAAGGTCCGTATTGTGGCCATACATAATCAAAGACCATAAGTTGCGTAATATTTAAAATTTACACTTAAATTACAAATTAACACTTAAATTGCGGAATATTTTATTTAATTTAAGTACCATTATTTAAAGGCTCAAGATAACCATTATTTTAATGTGCAAGATAATACATTTTGTGGTTGTGAGAGATTTTATAGGAAATAATGAGTGATGGAAATAAATTAGCAAAAGTCACTTCCGTGTCAACACTTTACTGGAAAAAGTTTCATTAAGAAATTTTTTTTTTCATTCAATTATAATTTTTAATTACTCAATGATTATAGAGAAATCCATTAATTAATCGATAAATCTGGCATGGTAAAAGTCCGCTGTAACAGCAATTCATAATAGCAGATGAAATTGTCGTTATAAGTGAGCCTGTTCTTACAAGCAGATACATATATTCAATGTTAAAATAGAAATAAAAAAATAAACATGAAGTATGCATACAAGGACGCCGGCAGGGGGGTGCAAGGAGGTGCACTTGCACCCCCTGGCTTTTTTTTAAACAATTAAGGAGATACAGAAAAACAATTTTGTTATAAAACTATTATTCAAAAGCAAATAATTAAGTAATTATTGATGCATAACAATTTAAAAATTGTTTAATCAAACAAGAATTGTAATCGTCTTTTTGCTGTCCAAATCTGTTTATAACTTTTTCAATGAATTCTGAGTCATCTTTGATCTTCTGAGTCATCTTTAAAATCTATTCATAAGTCGAACACTCGAAAGTAATTTTTTGTCTAAACTGTCAAAAAAAGATTTTTTTCTTTGGGCAGATATCTAAGCTATATTTTTAAATTTTATTTAATAAAATATAAATAATATTATTTTTTCTATTAGTTATTTAGATTAACAAAGAGGTATAACACAAACTAACTTTTCACAACTGTAAAACTTCATCACGAACACCAATACCAATGTTAAGCGTGCACAAACACGCTAGTATACGAAACTACTGTTTGTAGTTATGTAGGTTCAGAGTCAGTAGCTATGAATCTCGATGAATTTAAAGAAATGTATCTCGAAAAAAATTAACTGATGGAAGTATATGTAATAACAAAACAAAATGTAATTACAGAATATTTTTAATTTTTTTTTTTTTTTTGGGGGGGGGGTAGTTTGTTAGAGGGTTGCACCCCCTTTTATATTATTCTGCCGGCGCCCTTGTAAGCATATCTCTTTTTATTTTATTTTAGACTATACTACTTTTGCCTATACATTGTAAGATGAATCCTGTAGTACTTGAATTTAGAAATTTCTACGCCAGGAATGTTTGAACTAGCTTCCAAACCGTTACGAGTGTTTGAAAGATGCTTGAAAAAAAAAAATGAAGAGCTGCATCTTAAGACGCCATTGATATCAGTGGATGTGGATTTCGGTAGTAAATTGTCAAAAAGGAAATATGATAAATATGCGATTAAAAAAAAGGAGCATTCTTTTGAAGTGGGTGGCAGGATTTCTAAAAATAGCAGAAAAATATTTATTAAGAACAGATCAATTTAGCTTTTGTTACCCACACATACCTTCATATAAATAAGACCCAAACACACCTGTTTATAAAATTTCTTAAAATTGTAAGAAAACGTTGACCGTTTTCCATTTTTCTGTATTAATACGAGAAGTAAATAAAAATGACATCCATTTAAAGTTTAAACAGTTGAAACCCTTTACGTATAATATTTCTCTCTTAAATAGAAAAAGAAAAGTATTTCTCCCATTTTTTTTCTCCTATTAGCCGAAAGATAGTAATTTTTAACTCCTTATAAACGTTAATTTTCTGCATCTTTACTACGTATTTGCATTTTAACAGTGAGTTGGAAATTTGTTATAATAGTGGACTTTTCGTATTATGATGCCATACACTTGTTATATAAAGCTTTTCCATATGCTTTTTCTGAAGATAGTTGCAAGTGTTTAAACGCATGTTTAACAACATAGTATCAACTCCAAAAGAGTAATTTTTATGGCGTTCACGTGTTTTCAAAGAATAGGATAACTAAGCAAGCAACAGACTCAAGTTCAAGATAAACTATCAGAGCGTGAAGGCGGAAAGAAAAAAAAAATCGCTGTGCAAATCGAGGACTAATTTAGCGTTAGAATCAAACTCTAAATAACACGTTTTTTTTAAATTTTATTTTAAGTCTTAGATAGTAAACATTTTTACTTTTGAAAATATTTAGTCTTAATTACGAAAAGTTTATTGCCTTTCTTTACTTTATTCATTTGACAATTTGTTTTTTAT